TCTGGACTCCAACTCCCAGAATTCCTGAGCCAGCATGGGGAACTAGGGCCCTTTTATGACCTCTGGACTCCAACTCCCAGAATTCCTGAGCCAGGACGGGGAACTAGAGCCCTTTTATGACCTCTGGACTCCAACTCCCAGAATTCCGGAGCCAACCATGCTTCATTCTGGAAGTTGAAGTCCACAAGTCATAAAAGAACCATCATTCCCCACCTCTGGCCTAGGGGATGTAACCCATTCTGTACCGGTTGCCCACTCCCCCTTCCACCCGCTTTGTTCTGCAACCTTCACTGCAGGCTTTCGCAGGCTGATGAACAAGGATCGCACAACCACTGGTGTTAAAAGAATTAATCAGGGGGATTTATTGAAGTATCAAAGGTGGTTAAAAGGCAGACATAGATATTTACATATATATTAACTTTCGGGCACGGGGGAAACAGTCTTGGGCTGCAGAGGAATAAGCCCCTCTATACACATCCCAATCCCCAGTTATATATTAATTATTATATTTTTCCTTTTTTTTTTAATCTCCCCTTCTTTCCAAGACACAAACAATATAAAATAAAAAAACTGCGAGCCAGAGACGGACACAGAATCACACGGTCAGTTTCTTCTTCTTCTGTTTTTGTTTTGCAAGTTTTCTCCCCGGACAAGAGACAAAAGGGGAAGGGGTGAGGGGAAGGGGAGATTTTCAGGGAGATTGGCAGGGAAGGGTGGGCATTTACTGGCACAAATGGAGGAAAAAGTCGGCAAAAAACCTGGAAGGAACCATCGGGAATTACCAGGTGTTAGGACGTGGTCAGAAGTTGAGAGAATGTGTTGGAAATGCCCCTTTTTTGGGTGGAGGGTTGGACCTGGGCAAAGCACAAGAAGAGGGGCCCGCGGAACGGCAGCTGCTTTTGGAATGGTGAGATAGGAAAGGCGTTCCACTAAAATTCAGCTATTCCGGGCGTTTTTTTCCTCTTTTAAATCCACAGCAGTCCGTTTTCAATTGCCCCTGGGGGGCAAAGCAGGCGTGTTTTTTTTTAACAGTGGCTCCTGAACCCATCTTCTACCACAGTTGCCATCTTAGAAGGTGAAGTTCATTGAAACAGGATCCAAACCTGGGGCTGAGTCTCTACTTTCTGGTTCTGGTTTGTTTTGTTTCGTTTTGCAGAGTGTCCAAAATCAGCTTCTTCTGAAGGAGGAGGAGGAGGAGGAGGAGGAGGAAGAGGAGGAGGAGGAGGAGGAGGAGGAGGAGGAGGAGGAGGAGGAGGAGGAGGAGGAGAGGAAAAGAGAAAAAGGAAAGGAGAGAAAGAAAAAGGTGGGAGGAAGAAGAGGAAGAGAAAGAGGAGAGGGTAGCCTAGGCTAAGGGTCTCCCACCTTGGCCACTTTAAAGACTTGTGGACTTCAACTCCCAGAATTCCTCAGCCAGCAGATTCTGGGAGTTGAAGCAAAGATGGCTGAGGAATTCTGGGAGTTGAAGTCCGCATGTCTTTAAAGCGGCCAACGTGGGAGACTCCTGGCCTAGGGGCTCCCCACGTGGTCAAAAGGAAAGGAGGAGGAGACGGAGACAAGTCAACTTTAATCTGCATTCACCAATATATTTCAGCCGGCCGGACTTGAAAACGTAACAATAAAAACAGGCAGGTCTTCCACCTCCCGCAGAAGCTGGCCCAACAAGCTGTGCTGTCCAGATGGGACAGATGACGAGGTGAACATGGCGTGGGAAGTGGATGATCCGGTGGGCTTTGGGGGTCCCACTTCCTGCCCTCCGGCCGAGAATGTCACAATAACAAGGATGAGACAGACAGACAGACAGACACCCCCTCCCCCTGTCCTCGTCCTCCCTCCCCCTCCCTCCGTTACCCTCCCCAAACTATCATGGCTTTGAAGAAATAAAACCTGCTTCTGACAGCCCAAGAGTCCTTGAGCAGCCCGGCCCTGACCGGGAAAAGCATGCAGCCGAAAAGAGACACCCCAACCCAACCCAAAGACATCCCCAAGATGCCCCTCGTGGCAGGCGGCCATCACGCCGGCACTCCTGAAGAGCGGAGGGTGAGGAGCACGGACACGAGGTCTTCAGGGTCATCCAGAACCCAGGACTCCAGGTCAAGGGTTCTCCATCCATCCAGAAGACCAGGGTACCTTCCCCCCCCCCCATTAGCCCTGCCTCCCTCCCCAAATACTGTGAATCTCAGTGCTAAAATACCTGGGAAGGTCGGACCTAACAAAGCAATTTTGGGGGGCTGGGGGGGGGCACAGGGATGCCCCTCGCCTTCAACCTCCCATGGGGGGAGGGGTGTGTCTTCCATTTCCCGTTAGGACTTTATTTACAAACATCCCCCTCCCCCAAAGTACTGGTTCCACCCCAAAAGGGGGGGGTGTGTGAAATGCAGCAGCTCTGCCCCCTCCCCACTTTGTTTTTGGAGGTGGGGGGGAACAGTGCTAAGCATGCCCTACCCAGCCCTACCCAAGGAACAGGGTGGGGAGGAAAAGGTTTTGGTGGAAAGAGGCATCTGAAGGCAGAGAGGGTGGGGACGGGGGCGGAGCTTCCTGGATAAGGGGAGGGGGGTTTAAAAAAAATCCTCGGTTTTGGAAAATCAAACCGGGAAAAGAGAGCGGGAGCCGCCGGTGGTCGGTTTTTGTACACAATGGGGGCTTTATATATTCCTTAAAGCATCTTTTCGTTCATTTTTTCCCAATTTTTTTTTTTGAAGCCAGTCGTCCCCACCCACCCACAGCCGGAACAAGAGCTTTTCTGCAACCCTCTCCCCTTTCCAGTGCACCCTCTCCTTCGCCAGCTTCTCCCAACACCCCTTTCCCCCCTTTTCCTCCTCCTCCTCCTCCTCTTCCTTCCCCTGGCTTAGATGAAAAACTCCTCCTTGCGTTTATGACCATCTCCGCCGTTCAGAAAAGCCTCGCGGGCTTCTCCATGCTCATCCAGCCCGCTGGCCTCGTGTGTCAAGTAGGAACCTGTGAGGGCAGAAAAGGGGGTTGGAGTGGGGGAAAGAGAGAGGGAGGGGGGGTGGATTAAGCGCGTCCCCCAAACTGCCTCCACTCTTGTCTAGTCGATCCTTAAGTTGGTGTCAGATGCAAACAGCCAGGTCTGTACTCAAAGTGCACAATTACTAATTTGCTGCTCAAACTTATGCATAGGAATTGCCTCACGGTATTGCTTTGCACGTGGGTAGAATTAAATAAGGGTCTGTGGTGGTTGGGAGGGGGCTAGATTTTGTCCTTTTGTGACGACATAAAAATTCTAAACTGATGACCCTCTTGACTCCTCCCCGGGGGGGGCGGGGATTCTACCGGTTTGCACCGGTGTGGACGAACCGGATGTTAAATTTGCATCTGGTTCCCCAAACCGGTATTTGAACCGATCGTCGGGTCCCTCCCCTCTCAGGAGTCTCCACACGGCCCATTTTCAATGCAGGTAAGTGCAGGGTCTGCGCGGAGGCTCTGGGAGGGGGGAAAAAATGGAACTTCCGGAAGTACCGGGAGTCTGGAAACGGGCCTGTTTCCGGCTTCCAGAGGGCCTCCAGAGCCCAGGGGAGGCCGTTTTCGCCCTCTCAGAGGCCCGAGGGAAGCCTCTGGACCCTTGGGAAGGCAAAAAACGGCCCTCCTGGACGTTCCCGGAGGCCATGCCTGCCCAGCAACTGGGCAGCAAACCGGTTGCTGGGATTTTTGAATCCCACCCCTGCTCCTCCCCCTGGCTCTGCCAGTCTCTCTCCTACAGCTGATTCTTCTCCTAGAGGTGATTCTAGCACAATTATTGGTGGTTGAATAGAAGGTTCCTTTGCGTTCTGCCGCTTTTTTAATATCTTAAGCAGCGGGGGGGCAGAAATGAAAATCAGCATTGCTCCTCCGTGAATTGGAAGGTAAGGAAGCTGAAGGATTAAACATGATGGCTGTTCTCCCTGCTGACATCAGTTGGAGCTGATTAGATGAGCTTTGGATGCAGGGCAAGGGATAAAACGACGAGGAACCTTGGAGGAACCTTTTTTAAAACACATTTCAACAACCGTTGCTGGTTGAGGTGGCTATCGAAGTTGATTCAACCAACCAGCCAACCCAGAATGCCACTCCGATTGGACCACCCTTCAATCCACTTGAGGGGTGATCTAAGGAAGGTTGCAAGAACAAGAAGCAAGAGTTGACCGAAGACCTCAACTCTAGAGACTTCCCTTCCACAAAAAGAAAACTCCAGGAAAAGAAACCGGGCTGTCCTTTCACTAATAAAATTAACCCATATCACTGGATCATGTCATGCAGCCTTTCCTTCGGGTGTAACAAGGTTGGAAGGATAACCTTGTTATTATTCTCGGGGCAACAGAACACAGATGATAAGGAAGAGCCAGCCAGGGAACTGGCTTTATGGTTTGGACAGCCTTTGTCCATCCAGTGCCTTTCAGAGGTTGTGACCCAGAAGAGGCATAGCAGCTGTGTGGCTGCAACAGAAGTCTTTACAGCTGTGGCTTCAAGAGGAGACTGCTTTCCCTGGAAGATTCGTCTTTAAAAATTGCAAATGAGATCACAGCCCATCAGGGCTGAATCCAATTCGACTAGATGCCAAAAAAAAACAGCAGCTTCAGTCCAGGAAGGCAGACCATAATAACTCTTGCAAGCCACAGGAGAACCAGCAAACCATGATACTCGTAGATCATGTTGAGTGCCATCATATTTCAACCCAACTCACACACCTACATGCTGTTAGCTCTGGCACATTATTTAAGGCATGTCCAAGGCCAAGTTATTTGTGAGGCTGAAGGTATCTGCTCATCCCACTAGGTCAGGTAGAATAGAAATTCTATTGGGGAGGGGGGCTTCAGAGGCGCACCATCTCTGTAGACGCCCCAGACCTTCAGAATAGCCTACTGAGATTCAGGGGCTCTTATCTTCTAGCCTTCCGAAAGACAGAGAAGACCCGGTACTTCCCCCTGAAAATGGGCTAGAAGAGGGCTGAATGGAGGTTAACAATAATCATATTCTATAATCGTATTCTTTCACCTGGTGGGAAAGGGCTTGCTCCATTTTTAATCTTGTTTTTATTGACTGTGCCTAGGATCAGAGGTGGTATTCAGCCAGTTCTGACCAGTTCTGGAGAAGCGGTAGCGGAAATATTGAGTAGTTTGGAGAACTGGCAAATACCGCCTCTGACTGGCCCCGCCCCCATCTATTCTCCGCCTCTCAAGTCCCAACTGATTGGCTGGTTCTCCTTTGGTTGCCCTGCACAGGAGAATGGAGCTGGAAAGCAGGTTAGTGGGGTGGGGAGGGAAGGGAGATTTTGCAGTATCCTTCCCCGACCACACCCACCAAAGCCACGCCCACAGAACCAGTAATAATTTTTTTTTGAATCCCACCGCTGCCTAGGAACACTGCGAGGTAGTTGCTATATTAGTTCTCTCAATAAATGAATAGGTACTGGGTACCACTAGGCACCGTCCATCGCCAACTTCTTCCACTCAGTGGTTCCTAATTGGTCTCTGCATTCGGTAACCACACTGAGAATAACAGAATAGCAGAGTTGGGAGGCACCTTGGAGGTCATCTAGTCCAACCCCCTGCTCAGGCAGGAAACCCTATACTATCTCAGACAAATGGCTGTCCAATCTCCTCTGGCAAACCTCCAGGGTTGGAGCACCCACAACTTTTGCAGGCAAGTCATTCTACTGATTAGTTGTTCTCACTGTCGGAAAGTTTCTCCTAAGTTCTAGGCTGCTTGATCAGTTTCCGTCTGTTGCTTCTTGTCCTGCCTTCAGGGGCTTTGGAGAAGAAACCGCTGGTGCTGGCCATAGTGCAGAAGAGGCCAAGACAGAGGAGGTGGATGGGCGCTAGCAATCTTCTCTTGGCTATGTCGGTTCTATGTTTTAGCATTGGAATCTGACACCGGGGGTCTTGCAGAGAGGTGCCGTGCCCTCCTTCCCACGTTCCCAAGGCGGGGGAGACATTGAGCAGAGCTGGTCCCACCTGGCATTAGCACCTCAACCCACCGCTCAACCCCCAAATTCATGCGTGCAAGGCCCCCGGAGAAGCAATCTGAAAAAAGAACACCAGCTTCCTACTGGCCAGCACTGAGGGACGAGGTTTACTTAAGAAACCCTCCTGGGTTCCCCCTTACTGACCTTTCTGCCGGATGGAGCACCAGACCATGATGATGAGGACGCAGATGACAAGAAAGACGAGAAGAGCCAGGATACCCCCCACAATGGCATAGGGCACTGACGTCTGGGCCTCTACAATAGCCCCAGGATCTGCCAAGGAGAGAGAAAGGTGCTGAAGACATGAACTGAAGGGAGAAACATCTCTCGCAAAAAAAATTGCGCTGCTTTGCAAAAGAAAGGAGGAAGGAAGGGTCTCCTCCAGAGGTGGTATATTCAGCAGGTTTGGACCAGTTTGGGAGAACCGGTAGGGGAAATTTTGAGGAGTTTGGAGAACCGGCCAATGCGACCTCTGACTGGCCCTGGCAACCCCATCTATTCCCTTCCTCCCGAGTCCCAGCTGATCGGCTGGGTCTCCTTTGGTTGCCCTGCACAGGAGAACAGAGCTGGAAAGCAGGTTAGTGGGCTGAGGAGGGAATGGGGATTTTGCAGTATATCCTTCCCCTGCCATGCCCACCAAGCCATGCCACACCCATCAAGCCACGCCCACAGAACTGGTAGTAAAAAAAAAATTGAATCCCACCCCTGGTCTCCTCCATTTTTCCTATTTCTGGTCACCCTCCCTCTTGGCAGTGGGGAGCCAAAGGCCTGAGTCAGCAGCCATTTCCATAGCTGGCTGAGGTATTCTGGGAGATGAAGTCCACAAGTCTTAAAGTTGCCAAGTTTGGAGACCTCTGCCGTAGGACAACTCAACACAGGATAATTCAACAATTCAATTTAATTAGTTAACGTAATCTTAAAAATCATTTTAATTTCTGTTGTTTACATATCACTTCATCCCTCCTTTCGAATCCTTTATTGAATTGATTATATTCCAACATTTCTTTCGATATTAGTGTTAAATCCTGTTCCATGGCAAATTGTCCTGCTGCAAATTGGCCCTGGCAAGTTGTCCTAGACCAGGGCTGTCAAAAACAAGATCCGTAGGCCAGATCCAGCCCGCGATTTGGTCAGATCTGGTCCGCGAGACCATCCTGGAAAATGTAAGGGGCCAGGCCGTGTCGCTTCAGCCCGGTCTACCCAATGCGAAGAGGAAAAATCGGGCCAGCAGTCTGGGGAGTGGCGTCAAGCTGGCCACACCCATCCAGGTGGCCACGCCCACCCAGTCAGCCACACCCAGTGAGTGGCGTCAAGCTAGCCACACCCACCCGGTCAGCCACGCCCCACTGAGGTCAACCACAGCCCTGATGTGGCCCTCAATGAAATTGAGTTTGACACCCCTGTCTTAGACCCAAGTGCGAGGGCTGGACCTGAGACCACAAAGACCAAAAGGAGCAGCTGCAGAAGATCGGGAATGTGAGGTCAGTGGTGGCTAACCTTTTTGGGCTCCTGTGCCAAAAATTGTGTGCGTGCTTGTGAGCTCGCGTGCCAGCACCTAGAAGGCAATGCATGTGGCCCCCCACGTCCCCTGCGCATGCGTGTGCGATCCCCTCTGTTGCCCCCTTACCTGCACTGCACCTCTCAGCTGATTTTTCGGGCTGTTTGAGGCCTTTTTTGGCCTCCCAGAGGCTTGAGGGAAGCCTCTGCAGCCTTTGTAGGCCAAAAAATGGGCCCATTTAGTCCCTTCCAGTATTTCCGGAAATACAGGAAGTGATGAAAGAGGTCTTTTTTTCGGCCTACAAAGGCTGCAGAGGCTTCCCTCAAGCCTCTGGGAGGCCAAAAAAGGCCTCAAACATCCTGAAAAGTCAGCTGAGAGGTGCACACATGCGCAGTAAGGTAGGTTTGCCTGGGGCTCACGTGCCTGTACAAATGGCTCTGTGTGCCACCTGTGGCACACGTGCCATAGGTTCGCCATCACGATTCTAGATTGAGGCAGAAACAGAAGAAGCTGCAAAAATGTTGTTTTGACTTACCATAAACTACCAGCACGTATTGGTCCGAGGACCGTCCATGTTTATTGGCCACTTGGCACGAGTAGGTGCCATTATCCAGCATGCTGAGGCTGGGAATAGTCAGGACTTCGCCCTCTGTCAGGGCTCGCTCAGGCAACGTTTCATTCGCTCGGCTCCATTTAATGTCTCTGGGCCTGAAAGGGGCACCCAAAAGAATCTATCAGAACCACGCCTCACCTCCCCAGCCCCCTTCTCTGGTGCCGCCTTCTGGCCACCAGCGTAGCATCCTTGCCACCTCCACACACACACCCACACACACACTCTTTTGAAAAAGCAGCTCTTTTCTCTTCAAGGTTATTTGCTGCCAGACCAGGTGATAGATGGACACGTGAGGCAGCGGCTGGATCAAGGGGCACTCAAGTAATAACTCTGCCCAGGAATTGTACCCATCATTCAGGCGGGTCAGGGAGAGCGGCAAGGACAGCTTGATCACAAAAGGGTGGCGGAAAAAAATGAGGTCTCAGCACCCGAAGCAGACATTTAGGCAAAATGGCTGGCTTTATAATATTAATGGCAGCCCCGGCCAAGGCAGGAATCCTTTTTTAAAAAAAATATATATTTAATTTATTTTTTTTAAAAAGTTAAAATACAAAACACCAAAATGTTGAAGAAAAAAAGAAAAAAAGACAAGAAAGAAGACATTAAAAGGTGTCTTTTAAAAATAGATAAGCACACATACACATCCAGTCGCATCATTCCTAGTTTGAATGCTGATTAATAGAATGAATCAGCATTCAGCTGATTGGGTGAAACTCCCACCCCTTACAAAACAGGCCAAAAGAATTTTATATCAATAATAAAATAGTTAAGAGGGAAGTGATACGAATAATAATAATGATGATGATTAAAAATTAATAAAGATTATCCATAATAATGGGGGGGAAAGAGGCAAGATTACAATCCCCCAAACCTTCTGTTAACAAACTATTATGGTAATCGACTCCAAGAAAAAGTACCACAGCTTCAATCCAAAATCATCCCCCCAAATTAAGCCTAATTGATCCCAGATCCAATATCCATGTCTAGCAATTATCAGTTGCTGATTGGTTAAATACACTAAATCCAATCTTCAAAGCCAATCTGTGAAGGACAGAAATCCTGTCCCCTCTTGTGTCTGTTGGCATTAGCAGCAAAATAGAGAGACGAAAGACCAGAATTGTTGACACACTGCGCGGGGGGCAAGCAAAGGTTTGTTTCCGGTCCTGTTTTTCCATATTCTTTTTTTTTAATCAAACAGCATCTCCTTCGCCAAGGTTATATAAAAACATGCCAAACCCGATCGTTGGAGGAGAAAAGTGACTCAATGTGCACGTGCCACCAACGGCTATTCCTTTTCTAAACTGCTATTGGCTGTGAACACTGTCTTCCCTGTCTCATTTTTCACACATGCACGCACACACTGTTTTTGAAACAGCTGATGCTCCAAAACAGAGAGAAGTCAAAATTAAAATCAACATCTCCTGGAAGAGGATGGGATCGTTTGCACTTGATAAAAAAGGCTGTCAGCTGCTTTATTTGTAGTGGCAAAAAATAATAATAATAGGGCTTTCCATCACTAAATTGGACCAATCGAATAGTAGAAATTATGATTTAGATTTGCACAAGGTCTTGAAGTCGTCTTCTTCTTCTTCTTCTTCTTCTTCTTCTTCTTCTTCTTCTTCTTC